TGATCAAGCCCCGCCTTCCCGCAGGATGCAGCGGGATGCTTCTCGACTTCAGGCACATTTTGGAGTCTGGCGCCACCCACAGGCCGCTCACGGAAAAGCAGGACAGGCTTGTCTGTCTTTGAAACTTTGCGGGGCATCAATATAAATCATTCCTGAACATCTGATGGAACGAAAAAGTAAAGAGTTAAAATGTTCGCTAATATATTCTCTGAAGTTTTCTGACAATCCCTAGGCAAATTTATTCACTTCAAATATCAACATCAAACGCTATCAATTTGAATATTTTCATTCGGAAGATGAAATCCATTACTGTACGTACCATATTGTTGTTCTCTACCAAAAACATTTCTGTAATTATACACAGCTGAGATGTAATACGAAAAAAATGTCATCACGATCGAACAGCCTAGTTGTTTTAATTTCCCGGTTTTCCTCTTCTTTTCTTTCATTTCCCTTTGAATTGGGTTTGAGAAACAAGCACAAAGGTTCATTACCGCCATCTATCGGGCTACTTCCAGACCGTCCTGTAGTTGCTATTGGGCTATGTTTACCACGTGATCAAGGTGACGGAGGCGCGCCCACAGCGCCAAAATTCAAAATCGCTTAATGGAGTTGCCGAAATGTAAATAACATTAATGGAAACAGCGTTGTAGATGTCATGGATTTTAGCTTGTAACCCGAATATGAACCAGGAGGCTCAAGGTCGGGTCGGAGTCCAACCGAGCGGATTTGCCTGAAGCATTGCAATAATATGAAGGTCTGGCTTCGCTTTAATGCTCTGCATTTGGTATAAATATGTAGCTAGCCGGCTATGGCAACGACTAACCACCTAGCTGACCTTTGCTAACATAGGTTTCAATATTAGCTTTTGTCATTCGATTCGGCCTTCTCAGCTCTGACTAAATAAAGCCTGAGATATACACATTATTCACCAACGTGTTTCTCAACGTGCATGGCGTGAGTCAAATTATTGCTACCCTGACCTAATTTACTATTTATACATTTTATGTCGGATGCACTGTGAAGGGTTGTTTTGGACTACAGCTATTGTCAACGTTTTGGTTGTGTTTTACGATTAATGTTCGAATGCAGAAGTGTGTGTTAATATCTACCAGGCAGACGTTACATGATTAAAAACGTCAACTGCTGGCGTGACACTAGCTAACGACTGCTGTTCTAGAAGGCACAGGTCGCTGGGGGAAACCCGACAACGGCTGAGAACTAACAGCTAAACTGAGCATTTGTGGAGCTAAAACAGTCGATCCGTGGAATATATGGGGTTGAATTTTATCTGAAGAACACCTTGCACGCAAGAAGAGTTTTTTTGACGATATGTTTTAGTCGTTATTTGACGTGAATTTCTCCGTTTTATTATATACATATTCGAATAACAGTTAGCATCCAGCTTGAGCAAACGGTACTATCTTAAAATGGATTTCGTATAACCTTTTTTCTGCTGTCTGGAACAAAACGTCTATCTACAAGTAATTCAAGTTGCTGTTGTACTTGTATGTTATTGATATTTCTTCCTCTTTCACAACGTTAATCAGATTTTAAACATCTCTTTGTTGTTCACAAACCAAACCTTCTGCATTTGTCTCACTCTTTTACAGACAACCAGTGAAAAATTAAGGAATATCTTAATGATCTGACCATGAGACGGAGCCCAAGGAGACCCCTGATCCTCAAACGAAGAAAACTACCTTTTCAGCTAAATGAACCGGCACTGGCAGACACACAAAGCCAGCCTGTGGTACCCATCTCCAGTGACGATGCAAAATCAACTGCCAGTCAGTGCTTCCCTGACGGGATCAGAATTATGGATCACCCTTCCATGTCTGATACTCAAGTTGTTGTCATTCCTAAAACAGCTGATCTCCAAAGTGTCATTGGTGCCCTCTCTGCTAAAGGCAAAGAGTGCGGTGTCCAGGGCAGAAACAAGTTCATCCTCTTAAGTGAGAGCAGCAGCCGGGACAATGGGTCTCTTTGTCAGGCTGCAGCTGGAGGAAAACCCATTTGTAGCAGCACAGCCGGGCAGCCAGATGAAGGTGGAACCATACACAACTCCCCCGATGCCAAACCCCTCACTGGAATCAAACCATGTACGGAACTAGCAATTCTTTTCATTATTTATTTGTTAATTCGAGTCGGTATTTAAAAATAACACCTGCGTGTCATTGAGCTCTATATTGAACCCTCTATCTGTACATATCTTTTCTTTTGCAGTGAATAAGGATGCAAATGGCAGTCCTTTAGATGACAGCCTCACCAATATCCAGTGGCTGGGCAGAATGAGCACGTGTACCTTGCAGCCAGATCCTTCAAAGCAGACCAGCAACAAGGAGAACCAAATCCCATCATCGCAGACTTTACAGGTTGGCTGCTTCCTCTCGACACCTCCGTGGGATTTTTCTTATCGATGTGCAAGCAGACAGTCTTGTCGCAGGAGTGCTTATCTCAGGCGTTTGCTAGCATGTCTCTTAAGGCAATCCTTTAACCCGGCTGACTCTTTAAAACATCACCAGTGTGATTTACAGCTATGGCCTCAGCGTTCAGCTGGCAGATCATGTTGTTGGATTTGGAATGCACTGCTCACAGGACAGTTGAATTGAGCTTTCTGAAACTTGTTTTCAGTCTTAGTCTTCCTCCTTAAGAAGTTCCTTTTCAGTATGAATGGTCACTGACTCATCGTTAAAAGTTTTATTTACTTTCCACAGTCTAATGAATCATTGTTTTCATTTTTCTAGTGGGGGGAAATTCTAGAATCACTTCTGAGCTTTCAAACAGTGGGACAGATATCCCTGAAGTAATTGTCACCACTGAGATGTTCTGCTGTCTTTTTCATTATTTAGGCAGACAGCACACCTGCCAACCCAGAAGCTGCCCAGCAGCCCATGTCAGAGAGACCACCGTACTCCTACATGGCCATGATCCAGTTTGCAATAAACAGCAGGAAGAACAGGAGGATGACGCTGAAAGAGATTTACATGTGGATTGAGGACAATTTCCCTTATTATAGGGAGGTGGCCAAACCAGGATGGAAGGTGATTTATTACCTTTGTGAAATGCATCAATTGGCATTTTCCCTAGTTGATCTTTTTGAGTATCAGGAAGTGATGCATGTGTTGGTTTCTCTCTCACTTATTATTGCAGAATTCCATTCGTCACAACCTTTCCCTGCATGACATGTTCATCCGTGAGACATCACCAGATGGCAAGATTTCTTTCTGGACCATCCGACCAGATGCTAATCGATGCCTCACTCTTGATCAGGTGTACAAGGTGAGCGTGCTGACATGTGGCTCCCACTCTTTTGGCATCTACACACAGAAGAGACTTTAAAGTTATTATATTTTATTGTCCAGAAAATGCCTGGATCGTGTTCCTGTTCATCTCTCCTTATCATGTCTTTGTTTTAAGTTTTAATGTTCATTCTTCTCACTTCAAATTTCTTCCTCTAGCCTGATTCTGACCCAACCACTCCTCCTGTTCCAGGGCCAATGCTTTTATTACCTCACCAAGTAAGACTGATTAATCCTTTGCTTTTTTTCTTGCAAAACAGCTTTCACATCACAGTCAGGGCGCAGGGAGCTGGAGGAGACAGGAAAGCCAGAGATGTAATCGTTTCCTTTGCCTACCAGTTTTTATTAACAGATGATTTTGGAGCCAGGAAATGTACAAAGGGTCACGTTTTCATTTCAGGGAGAGATGAGATAGGAAAAGCAGAGACTGAAGCCACACTAAACGACTAGTGTGGATGAATGCATACTCTTTTTCCTTTATGTAAAGTCAGGATAACCATCAAAGGTCAGACAGTGGATAAAACCCACCGGGTGCAGTCATCATTGCAAACACGATAGGGCTACGAAAGGCGCGCGCTCCCGTGACGAAAAGTGACATTTTGTCTTATTCTTTACAGCAACAAAAGAGGATGATCCCCGATGCAAGAAAAATCCCAATGAGCTCTGGTGAGTTTTGGGGACTTTTTAAAGAAGAAAATGGGAGGGTTGTTTAGTTTTAAAGCTGTCTGGATGGTTGGTTGTGTGCTCTGAACCGACGTCTCTCCCTTTTGTTTAGAGAGAAAGATGAAACCTCTTCTCCCTCGAACCGACTCCTACTTGGTTCCCATTCAAATCCCCGTTGCCTCCCCGGTCTATCTGCCGTCCTCCTCGGCCTCCTTCACCTCCATCTACTCCCAGCAGAGCCGGAATGGCGCGCGGGCAACCAAGAGAGTTCGCATCGCTCCAAAGGTGAACCACAGAGTTTCTCTCTGCTCTGCTTTCCAGCCCTGAGCCATGCAGGGCAGCTGTGTTGAGTTGATCATCTGCCTTACAGGTGACCCATAGCGACGTCCAAGCGGCGGCCGCGTCTCCTGGCAACAGGGACCTGAAGGTGGAGGTGAAGGAGGAGCTGGTGTGCGTTCCCATTAAGTGCGAGACTCCCAGAGCTTCCCAGACGAGACAAGCCAGCAGCTCCCGGCGCAAACAGCGCCTGGTTCACTCCCTGGACGAGGAGCCGCTCCTCCTCTGCCCAGACAACACCTTCTTTGACTCTGGCGTGGCGTCGGACGCTTCGGCGTTCCACGACGCCCCAGACGCCGAGCGAGACAAGCACCAGCCTGGCCCGGAGAGCCCCGACCAGGAGTATTCCTTCAAGACTCCTATAAAAAGCAGCAGCCACCTCAGCTCCTCCACCCCCAGCAGGCCCGCTTTAAATGCTAGTGGTGGCGAGCCGTGGAAGGGGACCCCCGCGGGTAAAGGCGAACAGAGTGTCCTGGATGTCAGCCCCATCCGCACGCCAGGGGGCCCCGCGCTCACCCCTCGCCACGACTACACCACCTTCAGCTTCAGCAGCACCCCCTTCAAGGACCTGCCTCTGTTCAACTCGCCCAGGGAGCTGCTCACGTCCGCCTCCTCCAGAGTCCCCCGGGCAGCCGAGTCCCCCGTCAGGCCGCTGCTGAGCAGCTGCTCCAGGGAGCTGCTCACGCAGACGGGGGCCAGCACCCCGGCCAACCGCTCCGTCACCGAGGGCCTGGTCCTGGACACCATGAACGACAGCCTGAGCAAGATCCTGGTGGACATCAGCTTCTCCGGCCTGGACGACGAGGACCTCGGCACAGCCAACATCAGCTGGTCCGAGTTCCTCAATCAGTTTAAGTAGCTGGAAGGCCGGTTTGCCTAATTGTGTTGGACGGCTGTTTTATTTTATTCCACAAACACTACATGGGGGAGCATACACACTGATACACACACAACTGCCAGCAAGTGCAGATCTGAGTTCCAGCCATCCCACGTGCAAGTTGAAGACAACTGTGGGTAAAATTCACAGTTTGTACAGAAATCCAAAGGCTCAAATTTCAGTCCCTTCAGCAGATATGAAGTCTTTGGCAAAGCATTGTTTGTGAATTTTTCGCTCACATTTGTCAAATTGAATGGACCTCAGTGGACAGACTCCTCAAAAGTCAGCTTCAAGGGACACTCAGTGAGGCATATTTTTAAAAAGATTTGATATATTTTTCTAGCCTGTAACAATGCTTGTCAGGTCACAAAGGGGTTCTGAAAGGTGGAGTCGCCTTCAGAGCTGGTCCAGATCCATTTTGGTTTTCTTCCTCCTGCTTCGCTTTTTCCTGGCTGCCTCGTGGAATGAAGTCTTATTTTTGACAAATTAGAGGGAGACTTCAGTTAGAGTAACCAAGTCAGATTCTAAAGCTGCTCTTTTGCTCGGACGGGATATTCCTGGTTAATTCTTTCTTTCTTTTCCTCCTCATCTTTTTGTACGTGAAGAATTTTATGCCCCCCCCCCCTTTTTTTTTAACAAATATTATTTATCCCTGCTTTGTATTTGTCTGTCTTTCAAAGAAATTGCTGAGAAAAGAAATATGTATGCTTATACATATGTTGATTTGCACATTTTAATATATGATCTATAGTTTCCATCTAGAAATGGGAAGGATATGATGCTAACTGAGCAGCTAGCTGCATGCTTCCATGTCATTTGGTTCAATCGGATTTACGGAACCAAGTTAGCCTAGCAATAACAGAGTATTACAAATAGCACTAACAACAATAGAACTTTCATGTAAGTTGTAGTACTGTCCTCATCCTTTGTTTTCAGTGTTTCAGTCTCATCTTTCAGGCATTCTGTAGCCACTTAAAGGGACAGTCTGCATGCAGTGACTTCACATTTACAACTAATTTTAGATCTGAGGGAATGAAAGTATTTAGTATGTATCTAACACGGGTTTATAGGCCGTGGAGCCCTATTTTTTGGCCACATCATCTTTGAGCACAGAGTGGATTCTTACATAGATGCCACAAAATGACATGGCTTCCATAAGTCCCCCTTAGTCAGTCCTGAATGGTATGCAATAGTGAAAATCTGTGCTTTGAAACAGTTTTAGAAGTATCTGCATTGTTCTGTTCCCTGAAGGTGGCATTACCTAGAACAGCAATACATTTCTGAATTCAAGTTCAATTTGTCCCTCGGATTGCGTTAAGTGTGCAATATGAGGGAGAATTTCAACAACTGGCACCTACTGAATTCCGCTAAAATTGATGTCCTCGTATATGTGCGTGATTGTTTATTTCTATTTATGTTTGAATAAAAGTTTCAACAATTCATAGATGGCCTGTGATTCAGTAATGGTTTTATTCATCATATAAAAGAAATACAGTCAAAATACTATACTTTGAGGTGAAAAAAATGTTCCTAACAATAGTGGATATCAAAAAGTTGAACTTCACATTATGAGAGGTGTGCAAGTTTTAATTCAGTTTACTATATTTTTAAGAACAAGTTGCATTCCTCTTGTCTCCAGCATTGCTCCACTAGCTTCAGGTTTTTGTCTTAAAACCTTTTCAGGTGTTAACTCCTAAATAAAATGAATGCTCCCAACAAAATGGTTTTGGAGAACTTGTCAAAGTGGCATCGCTGAAGAGGCTGTCAGTATGTCTGGACCTCCTGTCGAGCCACTTCCAGAAGGGTCTGCAGCTGTTTGCTCCAGTGGTCTGGGGATATATAATGAGAATTATGTGAGGTTTCGAGCATTTACCATTCAACTTTAATGCAGCAAATCTAACCCAAACATTTGAAGCTTTTGTTTTTCTTTTTTTACAGGTTTCGTTTGTTGATTGTTAAGTTTGTCTTTGATTTTAAAATATGAGAAGTTCATCAATTACTTCAAGTTTAAAAAAACAACATAACTGGATATCCTGTCGGAGAAGAAGTATAAAATGGCTCGTCTGCAAGTCTTGAAACAACTCACTGAAAACGCTCCTCCATCTACGAGGCAGCCGAAAGCGATGGATGGTCAAATAGTAAACGGGAACCCCACTCAGAGTGAGGACGCAGCTTCCCCCTGTGTTCCAGGGGTCCGAATACAGGGAGAGACCCACAATGAAGAAGCAAACCACCGTGAAGACGATGGCTATGGCCAGGGGCACCTTTGGGTCAATATTCGGAATAAATGATAGTGTTTGTCTGTCGTGTGCTTTATATGCTTTACAACCTGAAACATTGTGCCAACCTTAAAAGGCCTCGGGTGATCCGGAAATCGATATCTGTGGATGAGCATGCCCAAGGTTGCCAAGGCGATGAAAAACCAGCGAGAAAAGGACGCAAAGTTGATGAGTTGGTAGATCTCTCCTGTGATAAGCATCAGCACCACCAAAGGGTACTGCAGACAGAGGAAAAGCAGGTCCGGCCCGCTTGTAAAATGGTGTAAATAGCAGAATGTTATGACTTTCAAATCCCAAAACTATATGTTCACTATCCCAAAAAATTATAAACACATGGAGAGGGAAAACTTGCCACAAAGAATGTTTTTTTTTTTCAACAGTATAAAGGACTTTTTGATCATATCTGGGCGGTGCTTTACCAGGAAAAGCACGGCGGGCAAAGGCGTGTGTCTGCGGATGTGGATCATGGAAAAGATCAGCGGCCAGTGGCCCTCCCTGGCCCCCACAAACAGCATCCTGCAAAGCAAAACGCCCACTCACTACATCGATCTGTCCCCCAAGAAAAACCCTTTCAAATAACCGGTATCTCCTGACTTTACCTGGGGGACCCAAAGAAGCCACCGTTAAGCGCCCCGAGGCAGGACAAGGCCACCAGAACTGGGATGACCGAGGCCAGTCCCTGAAGAGCGCGGCTGGCAAACGTCTGCAGAAACACAAACTCCAGACGTGAACGATCTGAACCCGCATTTCTTGTCTTAGTTTAAGGACTTGTCGTCATGTATTCCACTGAACTGACCACGGCCACAGCATCGGACAGCAGCAGCTCTGCGGGGGTCATCACGGTGTAGTAGGCCACGTTAACAAGCACATAAAAGACGGTCACCGTCACCATGGAGACGATTATTGCCAGTGGGATGTTTCTGACCAAAAAAAAAAATTTTAAATGTTTGTTTTTTTGTTTTTTTAAGACAGCTTAGTTTTAAAAAAGTGGACCAATTGACCCCGGGTGTCATGTGCAAAATACCTGTTTGGGTTTATGACCTCTTCTGTGACAAAGTTCAGATAAAACCTGCAGGAAAAACAAAGGCCAAGACACATATGAGTGCACAATAAACACCCAAAGCACTTCCTTTCCCAAAGCGTCCTTGCTTACCATCCTCCATAAGCATATAAACCATTATAGAAGGCCAGTGGCAACCGATCCAGCGTCAACAAGTCAACCTCAAAACCATTCTGGAAATTTTCCGTCTTCCCTGCCAGGAAAATATGAAGGAGCATATTTGTCCTTTTGCTTGAGAGACACCTGGATCGACGGTAACAGTTTTCATACCCCCCTACCTTTGGCCAGAGCAATGACACCGGGGATGATGATGAGGACCAGGGCAAACATCTTGACGAATGTCAAAGTAACCTGAGTGCGAGAAGCCATGCTCACGCTCCAGCAGTTTACGGCCACCACAAAGGCTGTGAAGACACAGATTTTAGAGACGGCCTTACAGCTTTGTCGCGTAAGATAATAGAAAAAATAGATAATGTCACTCACTCACTCCCAGGATACTGACGAGTTTGATGAGCACGGTGGGAGCGGCGCAGGGCGCGAAGAAGGTCTCGACCACATAACGCCCAAAAGCCAGGGACACATAAGAGGCCACCGCTGGCCTGGAGAACAGAAGAAGTATGGCTGAAAAGTTTATGGTTCACATAATGCATTAATTCATGGAGAAAATACAGAGAAAAACCAACCTGATGAATATGAACTCAACCCAGAGGCGCAGAAACGCGGGCAGGGGTCCCAGTGTCTCCAGTAGATAAGTGTAGTGACCCCCGGATTTGGTAAAAGTTGTACCCAGTTCAGCATAGCACAGGGCCCCTCAGAGGGAGGAGACAAAGACAATTCTTAGTCTTTAAATGTACAGATGAAATTTGGAAGCACTGTATTTTTAAGCAAATGCTTCCATAATAAATCCATCGTATTTGGGCCAATTTTCCCCTCAGACAAAATGAGCCATTACATCCCAATTCAAGGTGAGAAGACAGTGTTACGGTGTCAGCCAGCAGAGTGGGATTTATCAGCCAGAAATCGAACATCTTGCCATCGAATCTAATGTGTTGGAAGCAGCAGTCAGTGGCTGCCAAAAGCCGGTGAGCTGGAGGGGTGTCACAGTTTAAAGTGCAAACACTCAGGCTTAAGTCACAGACATCTTAGCTCGACCACAGAGCAGCCCAAGAAGCTGACCCGGTTCGATTAATCATATATTCTTTTCATGAAAACCTGTTCGGCTCAGTCACACCAGGAGTTCCAAACAGAGAAATAACTGCTGACAGCGGCAGAGTGATGCTCGGGGCAATTCTCCGCCAGGAAATCTTCACTTCTGCCACTCATGTGGATGTGACTTGTACAAGTATCACTTACTGATGAAAGGATTTGCTACTGACAGCTTGGTGCCAGATACCACAGCATAGCTGCAGAGGTCTCAAGCAGAATAGAGGGAGCTATTGACCATTTGGCAAGTGGTCATAATATTATGAGTCATACAAGCATGCTGTGTTTATTTACCCCACCAAACGATGAATGTTGAGTGAAATCCAACAAGAGATGGAAAAACGCTGATCTATTGAATGTTTTGCACATATTTTTGATTGTACTACAAAACTCCCTCTCTAAAATTGAGTATGCTGAGTGTTTAAAAGATGACAGGGTCCATTGCTATGATTCCATTTCTCTGGTTCCCTGGTCTTGTCGTATTCAGCAACAGTTTGGAGCCTTTTCTTGTCATATTGCTCCAAAACCCAAACATATCAATGGCTCTCTGGGTTTTTTCCCAGATGTGCAAGGTGTCTTCAGATCCCAAACAAAAGATCCCAAGCAAAATTATGACAGTTTCCACTTTTTTTTCCTTCTTTTCTTCAAAAATAATTCATGAAAGAAATTATTCTATCGAGGTCATTAAAGAAAGAAATCCCAACAAAGTTACAAAAAGTTTCAATATTTAAAAAACTATTTCTCTAAATAGAATTTAGCTGCAAATGCACAAGACATGAGCGCAAAACACTCACAGTCGCTTAGAAAAACCCAGACGAAACACAACTTTTTGAACATCACACATGGATAAAAGATGTCAACCTTACCAAACAGAGACAGGATGCCACAGAGTGTCCACACCAGCAGAGACAGCCCCACGCTGCCGCTGTTCATCAGGACTCCCTTTGGGGCGATGAAGATCCCACTGCCCACCACCGTCCCGATGATGAAGGACACAGCGGGCAGCAGCCCGATCTGCCGTCTGAGGCACACCACCTCATCGGCTGCTTCCCTGCCATCTTGCTCTGTCTTCCTCTGTTCATTCTCCATTTTTTCTGATGCTGTGGTGACAGTGTAAATGTGCCAGAAAGTGTGGTGGGAGAAAACAACGCTGGCCACAACTTGGCCCTGTCCCTCCCCCCTTTTTTTCCTGCTTGTTTTTTCCCCCCTCATTGGCTCTTTCACCCTCCCGCCCAGCCTGGAGGGAACAAAGCCAGCACTTATCCAACCTTGGGGCAAATGATTACAGCAGTTTAAAAGCTCGACAGCTTTTAAACTACAGTACATGGGTTCTCGCATGTGTGTACAGCTTGAGAGAGGACTTTTAGGTTCATGGGATAGTGAAAGGGTCAGGGTGTTCTAGAAGCAGCTGCACCGGCTCCATGGGAGGGGGCTTTTTTCTGACAGCGTTCACACAGTCTGACTTCCTCTTTTCATCCCTCTATAAAGCTTTTTATGTGGAGAAAAGCGTTTGATACTGTGCCCATTACATTAGGTGTACATTGTCCAACTAAAAAACGATCAAATCTAGTTTTCAGAACAGGTTAGCGTAGGAAAAAAACTGGGAAACAAGACAGGGGCCACTTGGCTGACTTGTTTTCCATTCTTTTCGCCTGACGGAGCACTGCATGGATGCCAGCTTCACTTCATCAACAGGAGAAGCGGCCCCTGATCAAATTCCTCCACAATTCATACAAAGAGGTTTCTCGTGTTAAAAGTCCTTCATTCTGAATGTCAGTGTTCAAAGCAGTAAACAGATATGAGAGGAGATTGCCAAATTCTTTCGGTACTCTGTAGCGTAGTCTGAAAATGAAAAAATTCCCTCGTCTAATGTCTCCTGGAAATCTTCATAATGCACTCGCAAACCCTCCTGGTTTCAAAATGAATGCTTTAATTCACCTTTTTATTTGTCATGAAGTCTTGGAGGGATGTATGTTGGTTTGAACCCTCCATGCACTGTGGGGACCGTTAATCCTTTGTTCATCTTATTAGTGGTGGGTGGCTTTAATTCCAGCTGGGTATCTGCCAAACCATGCATGATCATTATGAAGATATTACTCTTGCCAAACTTGGGAACTCACTCTTGGGAATTTGTAAATAAATTCAGAGTAAGGTCTGACCTGTTGTGTTTGGAAAGGGCTGTGAGATAACAGTTGTTGTGATTTGGCGCAATATAAATAAATTTGAACTGAATTTAATTTTATTGAAACTTGTTGTCTACAATCCTCCTCAGACATCAGGCATTACAAATAAGGTGGTGGGAGTATCATGACAGGGAACTTTCATTTTAAAATGGAGTATGGTGGTATAATAATATACTATTATTAGTAGAACAATAAATTGTGAATTGAGCAATCTCATTCAAAGGGAAAATGTCAGGATATTCAAACAGCCATCCCAATAGAAAAGTATTAATCTTACAGAAACACAATGTAAATAATCTGCTGCTGACAGCTTGATGCCAGAAGCTTATCATTGTCACTCAGGAGCAACTGATTTTTTACCAAAACACGTGGACAAAAGTATGGACTTTTCGTCCACATGAAAAGTAGGAATATTTTTCACAAACCTGTCTTACACCTCTTGTCATGAGTGTCTATACCACTTTCAAAAGCACGAAATTTATCAGTGACACAAAACCCTTTTCCTTGCTTTTGTTTCCTTCCCAAACAAGTTGTATCATCCTACAATTCAGCCTGCAGGGAACAAAACCAGAACTTTAACTCACCATAAATTCATTCATTTTTTCCCCAGATTACTTGGAGATCAGATATAACTGATAAGGACACAGCGTTGATGTTCCTGCTGATGAGGAGACAGCAGGAAATTCTTATTAACACATGATTTCTGACTCTGTTCACAAAATCTGAGTTCTGTGTTCAACAAATCAGCTCTGAATGAAAAATCAACAGAAGCAAAAAGACAAAAAGTTTTTCAGGTCTTCACTCAATCGACCGCTGCAGCCGCTTGTTAGGCTTCTTGTGCTAAAAGAGATTTATTTCAAATGGCCATGTTCAAAGCATAATGCACACATTCCACCAAACACTTTTTTCTCACCGTGCATGCCAGCAAATGAATGGCTTCCTAAGCTCATCAAACTCTTACAAAACATAATCTTTTCTTCTTATACATAGAACAACTTATAGTGGCGACGCCACACTTTTAAAGTATTCTACATTAGGGCTTTGCATTTGAAAATGAACTGATTCTGAACAATCTGCCTCAGTAGAAGTCTAAAAACCCCCATCCTAGGAAAAACCATGCTTATGTTGTTTTTGTCCGTTTTAGTGAGGGGACAGGGTAAACATTCTATACATGCAACAATCTACTCGCTTATCATGTGTGCACTTTCTTTTACTTCCACAAGATGGCGGTCCTATCTCATCTCACTTAATATTTCCTGCCTGTCACTGGAGTCCTTGCTACTTCAGGGATATATCACTCACCCTAAAATGGCAATAATATTAAACAGTTGTAGTTACATCAGCAGTAGTTTTGGTCTCTGTTTCACTGAGGTGAGGCAGCAGACGTTACCGGGCAAAGACTTGAAGAGTGCTTGATGAAGCCCCAGGACATCTTGAGCATCATAGTGTAAAATCCCAGGGTAGTTCTAGATTTAGCTCCTCTCTCTCCAATCGGAAAAAGATACAAATACCTACCCCGGGACACAAGAGGCCATCTTCCCTGCTGTGTTCCATCTGACTTCTCAAGATCCCTGTCCAGTCAAGAAGAGGGTCCTTCAAGCTCCTTCTCTTCCCCACAACTATTTCCTCCATGCGCTACACTCACATGCAGCAAAACACAAAGAGAAAGCCCTGACCTACCATGAGCCATTCACACGGGGGACCCCCAGGTTTTTCCATCCAACCAAATAACTCAGTTTTTTGTGGGAAAAAGTTTCAGTCAAGTGTATTTTATGTTCAGGAAATATCTTAAAATGGCCACAAGCTGCAATCGTTAATGGATAGATCTGTTTTAAGGAGAGTATTTGAGCACTTTTGAGGATTTTATGTGACATGAGAGCTTTTCACATCAGAAGTCAGGTTGAAGAGAAGAAGAAAGAATACTCTGAGAGTGTTATGAATGATTATCCTCAAGGTACACAAGGAGATAAAAGTCATCCTCCATACTGCCGTCATGGAAACAACGCCCATGGCAACCAGCTGAGGTCTTTGCATGCAAGGTACAAGTCCTGTCAGCATGAATCCCCCAATTACAAACCCCTACAATCTTGAAAAAAAAGTGTTTATGAGTGTGTACTTCCATCCTGGGAATTAATTAACCTTCATACACAGATGTGCACATACATCATAACACATATAAGTCTACGCTATGGAAGCACAGAACCAGATGCCCACAGTCATACATAATGTGTTGAGAAAACAACATGTACCCTTTAATGGAGGCAGAGTTCATGTAGTCCATGCATGTCTTAAGGCCACTTCAATGAATTCTATATTTCTCAGCAAATATTAAATTAAAATTTATAAGGTTGATCATATTGATCATACACAAGCTATGTATTTCTTTTTTGTAGTAATTTTTTATGCATGTTTCAGTTATCACTGCCTTCGGGTATGCCTGCATTTTATTACCCAAGTAGAACAGCAGATTTCTGTACTCATTTTAAAGATATCTTTTTTAGTGACCGTTAAAAATGTTTCAAATTCCGAGAGAAGTAAACAATGCGTAACTTTTATCTACAGATAAAAATCATATGATGTGACTGAGGCCACTTGGACGGACACCAAATGGACCTTGCTATAGGTCCTCTAATGCCTTTTCCTCTTTATTCCGCTTTGAATGTCTTGCCACTGCTTTTAAATGATTAATTCCCTCAACTTGCTGCTTGTAATACTGTAGCCGTAGCAAAGGACCATCACATTAAATATAAATGGCGTTATTTTTTAATGCAACTTTGTTTTTCTTCCAAGCCATCGCACTTTGGTTGTTGTTATTTCATTTAACCCAAATGATTGAGCTTGCCATGTGCTTTGGTTCTAAACAGGCCAACGCGATTTATGCCTTTTTCCACTCCTCCTTTAAAAGAGTCCTGACATTAAATAAAGATGGCTAGACAAATTGAAGTGTAGCCAATCCATAAAATGTGCATTAAGTTATACATTTCGGTTATTTAATAGAATGAGATAAGATCAAGTACTGGGTCTCATCTTTTGTAAATATCAAACCAGATGATTTAACAAACCCTGCATCACATGATGGAGATTTATGCCAAGTTGACCAATTTTTGACATATAAAAAAAATAATAAAACATACTCGAAAAATAAAGCCCAGTTTGTTTAAACTTCGTCAGTTTTTCAAATGTATCTCAGTTTATTTAATGAAAAATAATTACTTTGACATATCACTCACAACAGTAAATCCAACAAAACGTCACTGAAATCATCACTCAACACTCCTGGATGTTGCTTGCAGTGCATTCAGGTCACCTTTTACACACCTCAAACACACCACACACGCACTCCCCGCAGAACATTTCGAATTTGACTTGTGCAGCATGTGTCGGACAGGATCATTACATTACATACGTCCACTGCACAACGCATGATGGATGGGGTTCGTTGACACAACACGAATGGAACCACTTGACAGTTTATGGCCGAGTGCTCGAGCGTGCTGTTGGAATAAATGCCTTATCATGCACTCTCAGATTACACTCCTGTTCATGAGATGAAGACGTACAGATGAAAAAATGCAGACGAGACCATAAACATGTAGTTGTGCCTCCCAGAAAATTTGCCGCCAGGGGATCCCTCGCCTGTACGCACACAAAGTGGAACCCTTCTTTTGGGATTTTGAGGTCTCTCCAGTATCTGAAGTGTAAATAAACACTGCTGCTTCTGTAGCTTGGTGATACAGACCCCACTGTCCAGAAGCCAAGACAGAAAATACCCCATTAAAAAAAACCAACAAAAGACACAGGGAGAACAATGAGTCATCCACATCTGACTCAGGCTCCCACGGGCCCTCTTCTTCTTTCCATTTGAAGCCATTGAAGAAACACATCCTGTTGTTGTCTGTAGAGTTCAGAGCTCCAGACAAACACTTATCCTGAGAGCTGGTCCAGTAGCAATATCAACTGTATACATCT